CTCTGTTAGGAGAAGGAAAGAAAGCTTGGATTCTTTTTTTTTTTTGGTTGGTTGTTTTTTTTTAAGTTGTGTAGTATTAAGAAGTACAGAATGAAAATAAACACATTGTTCTGTGCAGTTCCTCAGAGACACAGATAACAGCACTGCACCAGGATACTATACACTATACATCCAGAGAGCAGTAGTTTGCACAATACTTCAAACCAGATATCAAAATCTAACATGACATCATCATACTGTGATTAATTTACAGCTGTCCGAATATGGATTTAGTGATTCTTCAACTCTTTAAGACCAACTAACAAAGAAGTTAATAATCAAAGTAGTTTTGTTTTGAATGGAAATATTTAATTATACTCTAAGTGATGCACTAAAAGGGCTTTTGAATGCCTCTACTAAAACAAAATTAAATGATTTCTTGATATCAAAATGGTTTGGTATTTCCTTCAAAACCTAGTTACAATATGAGCGTGCACAGTAAACAGGTACTAAATCTCTATTACCCATTCAAGAACAAAGCCACTGGATGTTTTCCCAAAGTTTTCCCCAATGTCCAAAGAATAGCAACAAGGTTGGTGAAGGGACTTAAACACAAGTCCTATGAGGAGAGGCTGAGGGAGCTGGGGTTGTTTAGCCTGGAGAGGAGGAGACTCAGGGGAGACCTCATCACTCTCCACATCTCCCTGAAAGGAGGTTGTAGCCAGGTGGGGGTTGGTCTCTTCTCTCAGGCAGCTATCAGTAAGACAAGAGGGCATGGTCTTAAGCTCTGTCATGGGAAGTTTAGGTTGCATATTAGAAAGAACTTCTTTCTGATTCTATGATTCTATGGCCATGCATACAAGAAAAATTGTTCTGAGCTGATTTCAAGGGTATCAAGAAGGGCAGCATTTTTGTTGTTAAGACAGACACCATGAAGTCTACTCTGTGAAATCTTATACACCAAGAAATCTACTTCACTGATCTTTCTGTACACTGTTACTCAGCACTGAAGCACTTTTCATGTTTTTAAGGCACTCCAGGCTTGGAGGGTCCATTCACTCGTAGGGTGAATGGACATACAATTACTTTATGTGTATATATTGTTAGCAGAAGGTAACTCAAATGCAATGTAAGAGCACAAATAATTTGTATAGTTCATGACTCTTCAGTAGTTATTCAAGAATTTATATTGACCAAAACAATTTCTAAACTCAAAGATGATGGCCTGCATACTCAAAATTGATTCACTAGCAATTGGCCATCAGACAAATAAGAGTATTAGCAGCTTCTTGCTTTTTCTTTCTTGATGATTTGTATTACGGTCAGACTTCTAGTGTTAGCAGCATTTTAAAGTCACTAAATTTCCCATCAAACAAAAATTACAATGCAAAAATATGATAGATATTTTAGTTGGGTTTTTTTTAATTACTGGCATTACGCAAAGACGCCACATGTAGCAGACTTTTAGTCTTGGACATCTCCTAAAAGAATTGGAAAGACTTTTTAAAATGCATAATGTTTAACCATTTCCCCCCCCATTTTCATTTACTTCTTAGAGGTTTAAGGTCACAAACCTAGTTAACTTGATCTCTTTTAATGAGTAAATTCTCCCTTACATCCACCTAGCATATAATAAACTTTACTACATTATAATATTCTCTCATTATACTTTAAAATTCTAAATGTCCACCTCAGATACATCCAAAGACAGCACAATATGAGCAATTAGATTTCAATAATATGGGATCAAAATTTTGCAAAGTACAATTTTCTTTCAGGAGGAAAATCAATTTACCACTTCAAACCTGAGTTTTCCCTCCTAAGGGACATCTCTATGTAACAAAATTTAAACAGTTGTGAGAAAAGTATTCCTGCAAGTGAGCAATGATGTGTGGAACTTCATGCCATATGTAATTAGAGAGGTCAAGAACTTAAGTGGGGATTCAAAACCAGGTTTGAACATGTGTAACAGGAGTTATGAAAGATACCAAAATCAACCCTTTGAAAGTGTTACTTTCAAAGCCTTGTATTTCAGAGCTAATGCAATTTCTAACAACTTATTATCAATAGTTGGAAAGTAATTTTAAGTCCCTGCTAATTGCTTCTTAAGACTTTCTAGGAATCACTTTTATTGGCTACAGAGTTGGGCAACTGTATAAAAATGGCCTCGTGTCCCATTCTAAAGTAACAACCACAACATTCTGTGTTTGTGCAATGCCATCAAGAGCAAAATGACCATCGGTATAAGATTACAGTTTGGCAGATGCTTAGTTTCTCGTTCACATATATTTGCTCTTAAACAGGGACCAAGTGTTTAAATGTAGAATGGAGCTCTTCATCTTAGAAAGAGCACAGTTATTATGCAAACCTCACTAATATGAGTCTTCTTTTGGCCACCAAAGAAATGCAGATGAGGCCTATATGTAAAATCTAACTAAATATTCTCCTATAATTGTAACAAAATATAATGTAGTCCCAATTTAGGTCCTTATTAAGTTGTATAGTAACATAGGTAAAGGAGAATATATTTTTAAAATAATTGATTTCTCTGGTAGCATGAAAACAAACACAACTGTCAACTAAATAAGGTGCTGGGCAGACTGTGTATTTTCATTATTTGGAATATTTACTTAAAGATTGAAAGAGAATTACTTATTACTAAATGCTAAGACCAATGTATTAAAATTATGAAGGTACACACACAAAATTTCAGCTACACAATCATGTAAAGTCCTAGGGGTAAAAAAATTTTAAGAGGATAATTATATAGTAAATCATTTCTGTTTTCAAGACCAATCCAATTATCATTACATAAAAAGGCAGTTAATGCTTTAACTATGTTGCTTCTTTCACCACAGCCTAAAGACTGAGAAAATACTTAAAACCATGCAAATCACCAAATCGGCCAAAATCTCATTTGTGATTTTATATCTAACACCGATATTTCAAAAGGCTATAACATTTTTCTTTGTTTAGGGTCAATGACTATTAAAGGAATAGAAACTTTAACCTCATCATGATATTTCTTACTTAAAAAAGGGACTCAAACATTACAGTTCAACTATATTTTGTCATTGCTCCATAAAATACTCCTTCCCAGGTGCAATGTGTTTTTTTCTATGTTTTTACTATCTCTTATTTAAAAACATAGTGTAATGTACTGTAGAATTTGATAATTTTAATTATTTAGATTAACATTTTCTGTTTTACCTCTTAAATTTTCTTCCCGCTTTCTGAATATGTTAATTTTTCATGGGTCATTTATATAAAGGGAAAAAGAGTAGAACTTTTTTAGCCCAGATGTCTAATAGATAAATTAACAAATAAATTTCTTTGCATTTCATTTTTTTTCCTTCCCTTCTGTCCCCCTTTTACACAACTCTTTTTTCAAACAAAATCCTGTGAAAGACTTGAGTCTTCTTTCTGTCAGTTAGACATATTTCTCAGTTAAGCACTTTGTTCCAAAGAACTTTACACAACACTTCAGAAAGGCTGTCCAAGTGCTGTTCCTGGTCTATCCGGACCATGTACTTAGCCCTCTTGTCTGGACCAGTAAGATATAAGAGGATACATTTACTGAATTACATCACATATACTACTAATTAAAATACCCTGTTTTCAGTGTTGAGACAGGCGGTTTTACCAGGTAGTGGCAGCTTTCTATACAACTGTATTCTTCTACAAGGCAATATGAAAAATTTAAGTGACATTGCAGAAAAATCTTGTCAGAACTGCTATATGAGCCTCAGAGGTGGAACAAACATAAGAAGATTATCATATGGAAATTCTTCAAGGCAATCATTTAAATTTGCTAATACATTTGAGAAGCTCTTATCTGTGTTATCAAAGCCCATGGTATGCAGCTGCAATAAATGAGGGAAGATCTAAACTTCAATCAGTGGGATTGCCTTTTTCTTCACCAAGCAGCTAATATTAAAATGGATTATACCTATAAATCCAGCGTCTTCATGTCGGAAGCAGCCAAAGATAAGAAGCTGTTTAGAACTGTAAATTAAAACACCTTGCAGTTTAACTTACAGTATGTTTTGAATGAAATAATTATGACCTTGAATACAGTTCCCTACATCATAAGTATCTCATGCAAGTTCTGTCCAAGTTAACTAAATGTGAATTTTATTTTCATTTAAAACATTTCACTTAAATATATATATTTTATTATATTCCAGCCATCATTATTATTTGACTGTCAAAAACATAGAATAAAGTAAAAATCTGTCTTCAACCCAGGAAGCAGATTAATGGTAAGGCAGAATTGGGGAAAAAAAAAAAAGAAACCCTCTGAGTGAAAATTAGTGTTTCCTGATGCTTTACCTCTTGAGAAAAGAGGGACAATATCAAGGGCTGACCACCTCTAACAGTTTGTTTAAGTTAAAACTTTAAACTGTCCAAGTTTTTAGAAAGTTTTTTGACAAAGAAAGATAAAATGAAGAACACTCTCACTATATCTCACTGCCAATATTTAGTCAGTGAAATACTCAGGTTCCAACAATGTCTGCATATGGGAATTCATTTAAACACTCTTGTTTAACATGCAGATTGTAAACAGAAAAAAAAAAGTTTAAACAGAGTTCTTAAAATTCTCCCAGAGAACATAAAGTTGAATTGATTTTTTTCCCACATTGAGTTTTGACAACTAAAACTCAATGAGCAGATATGTTGATAATACATGAATCAACAAAACCCTCAATTCATGTATGTTCACTGCTACATTTGCTTTATAGTTTTAGTATAAGTAAACAGCAATATTAATTTACTTTAGACAACACATTGGCATATACACAGGGACCTGATGTAATCAGTGTTATACATGGAACCCTGTACATTTTAGTGCAAATTCATAATATATTACTGACAATAAACATCAGAAAAGATTGTCATTATAGGAATTTACTGGAAGTACTTTAATTAGCACTTCTTTATATTACTATATCAGCATGTTGATTAGTAAGATTATACTAGATTTTAGGAGTTAATTACTTTAATTTTAAAGGCCTCCTTACCTTCTATTGCTGAGAGTAGAACACGAGAATGGTCGTAAGCAATTACATTCGCATATCTATTCTTTGGTTTGTTTACTTCCAAGTTAGAGTGTTCCCATGTGAACTGCTGACCGGGATCAATAGACTTCAAAAGAGAAAGAGAAGAAAACGAAAGGAAACTTTCAGCTAAAGACTACATAATTGTTCCATATATAATGATTACAAACTAAACTCCCATACTTTACTCTGGAAATAATTTGCTTCTGAAAGAAAATTATTACTTCTGACACATTGTAACATTTTCTCTTCAGAAAAGCAAGCTATCCATCTTTTTATCTTTTCACTCATTCTCATAAGTGAGGTGTTCTAGCATAACAGAGAATGAAAAAATGTCAGAAATCTCAGAAATACTGGGATGAAGGGGAACAAATATTTTTGCCTCTCCTTATTAGTAAGCGTACATGTTCAAAAATTTCAATGTCCTGTTTACTAAATAAACTCCAAACATTCCTGAATAAGTTTTCAGAAGAAAAATAATGTTTCTGTTCTTTCATTTTGATGCCAGGCCAACACATGATACCAGTGTTTCTCAGAAAACCAACTGCATATCATCCACAAACAACATGAAGCTTGTTTTTTATTTTCTTGAGTCATAAATAAGTAATCAATTCAGGCATATTTGAAATTTTAATGATCTCTTATTCATAAACACAACTATATGTTTCTAGATTCACTGTTTATTTGCTGTTTCCTTCATATTCCAGGATGGAGTTACAGAAGCATGCCCCACACTCCTTCATCCTTTACCATGAGGAAAACTCTCCAGGCTCTACTACTTTTATCTCTATGGTTGAGGTATATATGCAGCTAAGTAAATACAAAACAGATAACAGATGGTACCTGCTGATGCATGCTATGGTAGAGGCTGCATGAAAGGTCGTCTCTAACTATGAAGTCATGAATAATCACCCGTTGTTTTACTTTCCCTTTCTGTAACCTTAATATTGTCTAATCCTGGTAAGAACTGGTAGCTCCCTAGGAGAGGCTGCTGTAAATTATAAAATCTATGATGACACAGATAAACCTAGACGGGGCAGTTCACCAACACAGTGTTCATTTTCTATGAGTAGACCAGCAACACGGCACATGTCAGAAGATCCGTACTGCCACTACAGCATCAAGCCATTGCTTTTTCTGACTCCTATCAGGGTTACAACAGCTGCAAGTCCATTTCATGTTAATGGAAATGAAATATGACCTGTAATCTATTAGAGTAGGTATTACTTGACAATGAGCACATACGAAATTAATTAATGTGATCTACTAGGACTTGTCCCTTAGATTAATAATTACTATTTGGCCAGTCAGAAAACTGTCTCATTCTCATGCACATTTACTTATTTTACACAAATTATTTACATAACATTTAGAGAATGATTTTGCTTCTTTATTGAGATTATTAAAAAAAAAAAAATTGCCTGGCTGCCTCAGAGAGAGGTCTTACAATATCCCAGGAATTCTGTTTAGGAAAACAAATACCTTAGGAAAACATGCACCTTATCCTAATAACCTAGACCCAATTAACTTTTCTAACAGTTAGCACTACTTTTCCTCAGTTTTATTTTCATTACAGACCTCTGGAACTGGGCCTGGTTGAGTTTCCATGTATAACCTAGCTATGGAGAGCAGAGGAGTGTGATAGTGCAGGCTTACCCTTTGCATACTGCTTTACCTACAGTATCTGAGTCAAGAGTGTTTGGAAGCTCCTCCTTCAAAAGGAAATGAAATGGGACTTTTTAGAGGAACAAGGAACAAATTTGCTTGGGAGCATGATGAAGGCCGTGAAAATTCTACATGTGGTTTGGATATGATTCATTTGACTTGTACTACTATGTGTGCTACTAACTGTTCAAGAGGCATTCTTAAATGCAGCTCTGAATGAATTTGATTTTTAAACTTCTACACAATTTTTGCCCCCAAAATTATTTTTTTTTTTAAAAATCAAGTTGTGTTCCCTATCTTAGAAATTTGTGTGACTATGCTTAATGTATCTTAAAATGTCAATAGTACTAATATTATTAAGTTAGTATCTTTAGACTAGTTAGACGATTTACAAAACTGGGGATTACTTTTTTTTTAGCCCTATTGTATTTTGTTCACCTATAAAGGAACAACAAACTGTTCCCCAATTATTATTCTGCCACTTGCAAAGACAGACATCACTTCTGTGCTGTGCTTAAGTATAAACATAGCAACCTGATCCAACAGTAGGGCTTCCAACAGTAGGGTTTCACTCTTCTCCAACAGAAATATTATTTTTTCTGACTACAAGGTGAAATTCTTATTTATCAGTAAAGCAAGTGGTAGAATTTTAGTCTGTAAAGTTTTTATTTAATTTTCTTACAATTTATTTTCATTACAGTAATGTCTTCCCATCCTCTGAGAAGGATGGCTAGTAGAATTTTGAAACAGGCAAACACTGCTTAATTTAAGAACCTGAGTATTTTTTCTTTACTGCTAAGTGCTATTTATCTCATCTAAGGTATAGAGAAAGAATTTGAATTACATTTCCATCAGTGCTGGGAAGAGAAGTGTCATACACATATATAGCATACCCAAGACATATAATATACCTCTTCATCAGCTGACTAGCATTTCACCTACATCATACGACTCGAAAAGTAATGTAATTTACACAATTACTTCTCTCAGCACAAATCTTCGCTCTTTTCCTTTTTGAGTTAATGGAGGTAAATAAGATAACTCGTGCAGAATATTTGCAGGTCAAGTTTTCAGAATTTTGGAAACTAATTAGTATGGATTCAGCTCAGAATTGTAGTAATATTTTAGAGCATAAATGTAGTCATTTCAAAATAAAAAACAAGATGCTAACTATATATTAATGCATTATACTCTAAATATCTTTTAAAATAAAATTGACTACTTGACCAGGAATAATGCATATCTATAATATCTGTGACTACCTAGTCAGTATTTTTTAGAGGCATATAGGCAAATGTGCTATCTAAATGACAGTGTACTGACCCAGAATAAGGCACACTACTCTGCATTGTCCAAGACAGATAACTGAAAGAGACTATCTGTCTGATCTTTTAGGTTTTCACCTACATTCCCAAAATATTCTGGAAATTACTTCACTATATAAGATGCCACATGCACCTTCTCTTTACATTTGATGAGAAAATTAGAAAATAACAGAATACACTCCATGCTGCTAGTTTTGAGCCTGGACTGCAGTCCTCTAGCTTTACCTTATAAAACACAATGTGCACAAAAAAAATATCTATTTGTAATTACAGCTCCTTGAAAGCAGTAAGTTTAAGGTGCAGTTTTGCATATACAAACAAAATTAGAAAACTGCATTGATTATGGTCTATGATTCTTATTCATTTTGAGAAACAGCTTCAGCTCTACATTATACCCATTTTTCATGTGAATTTATACATTATTAAGAATATTTTACATTTAAAGCTTAGCTTCAACTGTTCAGTATTATTCTTCCACTTTTCACTCCTTAATGTTTAAGTGATCTAAAACTACTGTTCAATATCAAGAAAAATCCCAAACCTACACTTTGTATGATGTATGGCCAGATGGTGTAATTCAATGATTAGTATTTAGGTCTACATGCAGACATAGTTAACACAAATTATCAAAAGCAGGCAAATGGATTGAACTTTAGTATTGCCTGTTTTTCTTACCAATCTGAAGCACTCTGTGGCCTTACTATCCTCCCACAAAGCACCATTTTGTCAAAAGAAAGTTAATCTGTATTTCCTCAGACTTAATAGCCACACTGGTACAAAGAGTTGAGTAGTATTGGCAGACGCATTTCAGAAGTGTGAAAGACCAATAACTCATGAATAACAAGTCTGTACTAACAGTTTTAATGAGTGCTTTAATGGTTTAATGGATGGAACTTTAATAGGATTTCTAGTATTTTCATTCTGAAAGCTTGCCTTCAATAAAGCTGTCATTAACAAAGAACTGGATTTCTTCGTAGCATAACTGTGAAGTATGGTGCTTTGTGCAAAAGAAATAAAGATATCTGTAATACTGTTATTTCCCTCCCAAGCTTTGACAAATCTTTCAGCTATTGTGTTCTAAATGGCTGCCTGCTGAGAAAAAGTCTGATCTGTTAGTGGGAAAAGACTTCAGCAATATTTACTAGTACAATACACCATCCATAAAATAGTTCATTGACTAATAATCATGGTAACCAAAATGTGTTTTCAGAAGAATTTCAAGCAAGCTCCCTCCAGTAAACTCTATAGCTGCTCACTGTGCAGTTTTCCTTTACACCACTTAAACAAGAGGAAAATGTTCCCTGCTGTAATTGTGAATCTTCCAGGAGTGTATCTTGGTTCAGTACTGAGGAAGGAACTAGTATGATAAATGCTACCACTCCTGGTGTAAGCTGGCACATGTCTGCCTGCTTACACCAGGGACAGCGCTAGACTAAGGGTCACTATGCCACCAAATTAGGAGCCAGCAGTTTTTGTGGAATGTGGGGATTGTGAGTTACTTCACAGGTTTCACAAGCCCAGAAGAAGAAGGAAGCATGTCCTGTAAAAAATTTTCCAGCACTGTAGGTGCTGTGTTTGCGTCTTAAATCATCAAAGACCATTGGCTCACAGAGAAACCAAGTAGAGAAAGAAGAACGAAAAGTAAAAATTTGAGAGGATGTCAATGTGAATAGACTCAGCACAACTGGAGAAAGTACTCAGCTATGCATAAAAATAAGCAATTTGACCCTCTTTTACCAATGTCAGCAGTTGTGATGAGAATTTCATACCACAGTTGATGAATTTATAATAGAATGCTATTATATTATGCAGGGAGCTTGCTAATAGAATGAGATTTACATACTGCATTATCAAAACATGAATGTTAAATTAATACATGATCATGACAACTTGCCAACTGGAATTATGGTTTTTAATCAAGACAGAGACTTTCCCATCACACTGTAAAGGCTATCATTTTCAAAAATATGGGGAAAAACTCCACATATTTTGCACTGCTAAAACTCCTTTGGAACTCAAATATAAATTTGCATCCTTGTTCCAAAACCAGTTAAAAATGCAGATAAGACATTTCCTGTTAACTTTCAAGGGAAAGGGA